CGATCTTTCTGCTGTGGAAGGTCTTTGTTCGTTGGTTTTTTAGGTTATTTGCTTTAGTTTGTTTGGTTGTGCTTGTGTCGCTTAGGACTTATGTTTTTTGTTTGGGCCGTTGACCTCTGTAAGCCGGAGTGGGAGCCAACATTATCCTTTTGGGATCAACTCGTGTCTCTATTCGCCTGTTAGGAGCTTTGCAGTTTTTTTTAGTGTTTGTTGTGTTAGTTGTCTCGTGAGTCTTGATTCTGGTTTCTAGCGTTGCTAAAGTCAAGATTCTAGACGGTCGTCAGACCTGTCCTCCCACTTATTCAGTTGGTGGTTGTTTTATTCAACTGGGGGTTGTATCTTCGCATATTTGTGCGTTTTTGATTTATATAATATTCTCTATCGTTCCGGAAAAAAATATAAATTAGTTTTTAAAATTTAAAATAATATTGTTAATTCACTTAGTTTTTTATTATAAATTGTTACATATTATTCCTTATTTATCTTTTCCACCTTCACCAAAATATATAAATTTTTCCTTTTATTTTTTGTTGTACATTTAATTATTTTATAAATACCCGTGTAGTACACATGTCAATAAATCGTGTTATCAATCACTTAATATATTGACGTTTGTCCAAGGTTTATTTATTGTAGAATACACATGTCAATACATTTAAGTGTGAATAACTCCATAAATCGTGCAATCAGATAGCTCTATAGTAAAATTGATCCATAGGAAAATTGTGTACCATTATGTAGAAACTAATTAATCTTTTCAAATCTTGAGTATATATTTTGGGTTTCTATTTAAGGTTTCTCACCACAGTCTAATCTATACTTATATTAAAAGCTATACTATTTACTAAATGTAGTATGTAGAATAGTCAACCCTAATTAATGATTTGCTATTTTTATCAATCATTTAATTAATCCATCTAATATTTTGGTATGTAAATCAAATTATCATTTAATTAGTTCCTAAAATATTGGGTATGCAATATTAATTTAGGAATATCCATGTAGTTCATAAAATGTTGGTATGCAATACGTAAAACAAGATTTTTTAATTTTTTTAAATATAAAATATTGCAACACGTAAAACTATTTTTTTATTTTATTTTACATATAAAATCTAATCAATATTTAATGCATCCTACAAAATTAGATTTAGTTTAATTCTCCATACAATTGGTTATAACTTTTCAGTTGTACTTTTTTTATTTATTTATTTTACACTTTTAAATTAATGAAGCTCTCCGAAAATACCAAATCAAATGATTATGAAAGTTTT